GATTGACATCAGCAGCCTCAAGTCGAATATTGAAGATGGGTATATTACGTATCGCGAAGTCTATCAAAGGTTCTATTTACGATCATAGTGCAGATGAAGAGGAAACGATGAGCCGTGCTTCGAACGTCATGTCGGGACCGCCCGATCCATACTTTGGCCCAAGCACATCTCATAGTACACACCCTTCTTGTCAAGTAGTTCTTGATGTGTGCCACTTTCCACAATCTTTCCCCTCGCGAACACCATGATCATGTCCGCATCCTTGATAGTACTGAGACGATGCGCCACCGCGACAGTTGTACGTCCACTCTGCGCTTCCTCGAGCGCCGCCTGAACTACCCTCTCGGATTCAGTATCCAGTGCGGAAGTAGCTTCGTCAAGAAGCAGTAGGCGTGGCTCGCGGATGAGTGCTCTGGCGATGGCGATACGCTGGCGCTGCCCACCCGATAGTTGCGTGCCTCTACTACCACACATCGTCGCAAAGCCGTTTGGCAAAGATGCAACGAAGTCGGATATGTTCGACTGCTTGGCTGCGGCTTCGACCTGAGCGTCAGTCACGTCGACTTCAACACCCATGGCGATGTTGTCCCGGACCGAGCCTTGATATAGGACTGGCTCTTGCTGGACCAAAGACACACCTCGGCGGTACTTGCGTGGACAGAGGTCCATCAACGGAGCGCCATCGCAGGTGATACGCCCCGCAACGGGATCATAGAACCTCTCCAAGAGCGAAACCATTGTTGACTTCCCGCAGCCTGAAGCGCCGACGAGAGCAATGAATTGACCGGGGCGGACATCGATATCGATGCCCTCCAGGACCTTGGCGTGGGGCCGAGACTTGTACGCGAAAGCAAGGTCTTGCACCTCAATATGCGCTGGACTCTTGTCCTTCTCGTCGTCAAATGGCGGCTTTGATGCGTCTTCCTGCACTGCAGGCTTCATTGCCCGCAACCGAAAAACGTAGTTGGCCGCAGTGGCCGACTTTGTGAGACTCGTAGTGTAAGAGAAGAAGGCTGCAGCTGCCTCTCCAGAGAAAATGACACCGATGAAGACCGTGAAGAATTGGGTAGTCGTGTATTCTCCCGTGCTGATCAGTCGGCCGCCGTACCAAAAGCCCAGGGCCATTGCCAAGAATGAGATGGACTGCGTCAGTGCGTACCAAAACATGGTCCACACCAAAGCTTTGATGCCGTCTCTTGCGACACCTCGTAGTCGATCTTCGTACCGGGCGAGGATGTGTCTTTCGAGCGCGAGACTGGAGACTGTGCGAATGGCGGAGACTGCTTCGGATGCGAGTGCAGCGCTGCTGGCGAAACGTTTGCCCGTAAGATCTTCTAGCTTGAATTCAAGTCGAATCCTGAGGTACCCAGAAAACACGATTGGAGGCATAGCTGCGCCAAGTCAGTGTCGATTACTGGAGAGAACTGAGAAGTGATACTTACCTCCAAAGACAACTACAAGACCGAGCTTCCAGCCAACCACGATGGCAAGAATCGAGGAAGAAACGATGTTGACGATGTTGATGAAAATGAGCATCAGGTTGAAGCCCATAAGGTCGCGCAGTGCGTCAGGGTAGGCTCCGAGTTTGGAGGCGAGCGCGCCGCTTGCATTGTCTTGATCGTCGAAGAATGCCATGTCTTGCTTGAGGACAAGGTCGAAGATCTCGCGTCTGTATACCCTGGCGACAACCTGTGCGACAACGTTGCTGGCCCAGCCAACAGCGCCATAGACAACAAGATTGCCGATTGCGACAACGAAGAACATCAAGGAGTAAAAGTCGCCCTGTTCTACTGCCCTCTTGGAAGACAGTTGGAAGGCTTCGACGACGCGAGAGAACAGGATGGCTTGAGCTGGGTAGGTCGCTCCTGTGGTAGGTCAGTAACAGTCGAACAAGAAACGAGTTGACAACTTACCTCCAGCTAGTGTTGCAATTCCCAATATGAGAAAGCACTTCCAAAGGGCACCCTGTTCCTTGAGCACTATCCAGGCACACTTCACCAGGTTGTAATTGATGCCGTCTTTGTCGGAAACTTTCGCTTCTTGGCCGATAGCGGATGCTTGAGTCTGCGTCCGTACTAGATCAATCTTCTCTGCGGCAAAATCTTGGTCTTCCTGCTCTTCGCCCTCTGCTTGGCCGAGGTCCTGGGCTCTGACGAGACGAGCGTATGCACCACCAGCAGCGAGAAGCTCGTCGTGTGAACCCTGTTCAACCACAATTCCAGCAGCCATGACTGCGATGTTGTCGGCATTGCGAATGGTAGAAAGCTTATGAGCGATGACGATGGTTGTGCGACCTTGAGAGACACGCTCAAGTGCTTGCTGTACGATCTTCTCTGCCTTTGGGTCCAAAGCGCTGGTGGCTTCATCCAAGAGAAGGACAGTTGGCTCCGAGACGATACTGCGCGCGATGGCTAGTCGTTGCTTCTGACCGCCCGAGAGGTTCATAGCACGCTCACCCAACTGCGTGTCATAACCCTATTCAACGTTAACAATCCATATGCAAGTATCTGAGGAGCAACATGGCTCACCTTTGGCAGCCGCTCGATGAACTCTTCGGCATAAGCGTTCTTGCAGGCCTTCTCTACGAGCGCTCGCTGCTCGCTCTCGGGCAAGTTGGCCTTGTCGGTGCCGAACAAGCCGAATGCGACGTTTTCGTAGACAGTACCGGAGAAAAGCACTGGTTCTTGCTGTACTAATCGGATATTCGTACGTAGCCAGGTGAGATTGAGCTCTCGTATGTCAGTACCGTCGAGGTATATGGCGCCGCTAGCCTGATCATACCATCGCTCTATCAAGCCGATGATTGTCGATTTGCCGCTGCCTGATGCTCCTACGAGGGCTGTAGTCTTTCCAGCAGGCGCAGATAGCGTTAAGCTCTTCAAGACTGTGATGTCAGGCCTAGCGGGATAGGCAAAGCTGACGTCTCGAATCTCGACAACACCTTTACACACGCTAGGCACCTTGCCATCAACACTCAAGGGATCAATCTCGGACTTCCGATCGATGGTTTTGAATAACTCGTCGGCAGAAGAAGAGGCCTTCGTCAGAGATATGATCTGAGGTGCTATTGTTGTCATAGCGGTTGCTGCGACAATGACAGCGAGGATGACGGTAAACACGTCGCCTGTCAACGGATTAGTACATAATAGTATCAATCGGGTAGATCTGAGGAACAATTCGACCCAGGTTGGTGCTTCACATACCACTCTCTTGGACTTCGCCCCTGGCCCACATCCGGATGCCTTGCCAGAAGGCCAGACCATAGCCCGCATAGATGCAGAAGAACTCGACTGAGAACATGACGGCATAGTTCGGGGACTTCTTCATACCAACCTCCTGGGCATCGCCAAGAAGCTTGTCATACTTGCTGGACAGCAATGGATGAAGCCAGAACGCGTGAACCGTGCGCACAGTCGCGAAAATCTCTTCCGCAAGTTGTCCGGCTTTGGAGTAAATCGGTAGCAATTGATTCTCGTTCTTGGTATCAATGCCGATGGAAACACCGACAACGATCATGATTGTAGGAACGATGCTGATCGTTATCAGGGTAAGTTTCCATTGGACGATGAAGGCGATGATGAATGCTGAGACGAAGGTCGATACACCTTGAACGGTCAACGTGAGCTTCTCCGATATACCGTTGTTGACATTGTTTCCGTTCGTCGTAGCCTGTGTCGTGACCGAAGCGGCTTCATCTGAGTCGAAGTATGCGATGTTCTGGCGGAGAATACTCTTGATGAAGTCCAATCGTAAGGCCTTGGTGGTGCGGATGGCTGCGATGGATACAAATGCCTGCGAACGTGAGCATGCTTTCACGGATGTAGCTTGTTAGTCACATACCGAGTGAATGTAGACGAGACCAAACTTCGCAACAAAGAGGTAGATGAAGTACAATGTGTATTTGTTCACTTCGGCACGATATTGCGCTGGCGTGATCGAGCCAGTCGCGAACCCAGTGAACGTCGAGATGAACTTGCCAAAGACCAGATCCCTGTGTGATGGAGGATTCCGTTAGTGTGTGATTATTGATTGATCGACGATAGGTCTTGCGAGAATCTTTGACCGTCCTTGACACGTAGTGTGAGGCCCGGACAACTTTCCATTGATGTTTATCATTTCACATGAACGAAACAATAGCAATGCGCAATCATCCAGGCCACCACGTTTCGAACATTGATGGAGGAGACAAAAGATCGTGATGTGTGCATGTCTCTTACATTAACGGAAGTAGTGTTCCAGCGGCGATGGCTGCAACGAATGCGATGGTGTTGAGGATCCAGCTTGTACGATCTGCATACTTGAAGATGCGCTGGTATGTCGTGAGCATCGTGTTCCTTCTAATTTGTTCAATACACTTACGACGTAGCCACCCATGCCACCCTTTGGCTCTTTAGACGTGACATCGCTTTTGACTGTCGGCGCCTTGCTTGTCTTGACGTCATCGCTGGCGCGCTGCTCGGGCGTGTCGACCATTTCTTTACTCGTCGACATGTTTGGGGTGAGTATTGCAGTCCTTGGACGATTGGACTGCAGTGCGCCACATTGATATCTGAAGCCATCTCGTCGAAGTTGCGCACATAGCTCATGTTTGCCGGACTTTGCAAAGTCCGGATCCGCGGTGAAAAGGGCGATCAGAGGGCGCGTCGCAAGCGGCTGAAGATTTCCCAAATGGCGCGGGATACGAGCAATGCGAGCCAATCGGCAAGTCCCGGGCCTTGGCACAGTCACGAGATCGCGCGTTCTTCGTAGTGATGCCTGGTGAGGCCGAATGCTGCATCTAGACTTCAAAACCCTGTATCTTCGACACTCTGGAAGGTTTAGTTGGTGAGATATTGGACTGCTGCCTGTCGGTGCGAGATTTCTGCTGTTAGTGATGACATCGTTGATAGTTCCCACAGCCCCGGGTTCCGAGAAGCCCGCGCTCCGATAAAGTCCACAATATCCGCCACTCTTGCACACCACGCGTAGAATACCGCGGCTCGGATTGCGTAGCCGACAATATGGAAGACGACGATATGGATGCGTCGCTTGATGGGCCCATGTCCAAGCGTGCGGTAAGTCGCATGAGCCAGCCACCCAGATCAGCGCCCAGATTGACGACCCACATCTAGTGCGATGCCTGCCGGACACGCAAGATACGTTGCGACAGAGGCGTGCCATGTTCCAACTGCAAGGCAAGCAAATTGAGTATGATTTGTTGGGCCTGAACTTGAAGTTGCCGCTGATTCGTGCAGCTTGCAAAACAGCTCCCCCTCAACAGAAAGCGCAGCGACAAAGGGTTCACATATCTGAAGAATAGTACGTCTGAACCGCTTCCAAAGTGGACCTCGCTGCTTGTGGCGTCAGCCTTACCCGTCGACCGTTCTTTGCCCCGCGGCCAAACAATCGAATCGTGCTGATCTGGCGTTGAGTAATCTTGTTCGAGCTGACTCGATTTAGCGAGAAGAAGATTGATAGAATTGAAGACCGCTTAGCTGGTATTGAGAATGTTCTTGCCAGTCTCGCAACGAAACTCGGCAGTCTGGACCTCCAGAAAGACTCGCATGAATCCAGCAGCCAATCGCGGTCGAGCCGAGTTGGCCCTTCAAGGAGTCCTGGAAGTGTCCTCGTCGAAGCCCCCACACCCGCGCCATTCGAGGGCGAGAGTTCTATCAATAGCCAGTCAGACTATGCTCGCGAGATGCTGGCACGAGCGATCGGGAGTACACCCTCTATTGGACAGAATGAAGAAGTCAAGTTGGCACTTACTGCTCTTTCGGAGATGGTCTCTCAGCACGGCCAAAACCCTGCAACTTCCAACCCCTTGATCAACCAGTCACTTGTCGATATTGACCCATCAAAGCTGGAACGACCGCCTTGGGAACTTGCGTGCTATGCTTTGGAGAAAGCTAGTGGTATGTCTACAGACTTCGTACCCTTCAAGCCGATCTGACATGACCAGAATATCCAACTATGGCCTTTGCAGTGGTGTTTCCGTTCTTGAGAATGGCCAATCTCAAAGATATCTTCTATGATGTGTATCATAACCCAGAAACTTGTAGCGCCGCTCGCCGTGTGCTCACGTTCGGCGTGTTGGAGAACGTGTTCAACGAATTCCGGACCTTGCCACTAGCCAATATGGACACCACCAACTATCAATCGTACGCCATCATAAGTCGCAGGCAAACAGAGGTAGCACTGTCGCAGCTAGCTATATTCTTACCCGCAACTTTCGAGAATATCATGGCTTTGGTCCTTGGCGCTGCGCAGGCGGTCGAGATGTGCAAGCCATCTCTTTGCTGGATTATGATATCCAGTGCTGCAGGCTTGTGTCAGAGCTTGGGATACGTAAGAATTCATGTGCAGCATGAGTGTGAGACGACCGCTGACGTCCTGCTTTTAGCATCGAATCAACACTATGATAGACGACAACCCCGAAGACAGACAGACGAAGATCCATATCTTTTGGATGATCTACATGCTTGACAAGACGCTTTCGCTACGTTTGGGCCGCTCAAGTATCCTCCAGGACTGGGACATATCGTTACCATTTGTAGTATCCAGCGACAAGCACGCCGAATCAAGCGCCTTCTTGTCGTACTGGATTAAGGTTGCGCGAGTCCAGGGCCTGACATACGAGAAGCTATTTTGCCCTGCCGCCTTTGCAAAATCGACGGAAGAGCGCACGCGAATCGCGATCGAACTTGTCAACAGTCTTAACCAAGCCTGGTACGAGCGTGGGGATGCGTCGATCGTCGACTTTTCGCAGCAAGGCCAAACATATCATCTCGGTACGCCGAGATCGAACAAAATAGGCAACAGTCCAAATGAGACACCACTCCCGTCTCAATACAAGCGCTATGTGCACAAATCTCTGGGTAAAGAAGGACCAGAAGTCAACGAATACGTTCAGGGTAAGTTTCACCGCCTGCGAAATTTGAACTTCACTGACTTTCTTGGTTGAAGGCTCTTTCGAGAGAGTCCAAGACATCTTCTTCCACTCCGATGTCGTCATGCACTATTCCACCTGTGCGCTCATACAGCGCGCGGTCAGTCCAGGAAATATGAGCTTTAATCAGGAGTGCCTCGAATCCTCGAGAGCGGCCCTTGTCGCCCATATGAGGGCTAGTGCACAGTTCAACAAAAAGGGCCAGGAGGACTTCTGGTCGGGATATGTACACTGGTCGGTTCTTCAGGCACCGTTCACACCGTAAGTCACTTGATTCTTCGCAGCGCACGGTCGCAGCTAACTCATACCTGCAGTTTCATCGTGATATTCTGCCACTCCATCCAAAAGGCCGATACGTCCGACGTTGAGCCAGATCTAAACTCCCTTTCCGAGTTTGTCGGCAGCCTGGAATCTTGCCGCACGATTTCCGAAGGCGCAGACAAGCTCTACAAGATGTGCCATCTTTTCCTACGAGTTGCCAGGCTCTACGTCACAGCTAAGAAACAGGATGCTGCGTCAAGATCACAGGGAATTATGCAAAATAACCAGTCAGGGTATTACACGACCGTTGATGGCACGCAGCTGGACCTCAACGCAATGTCTCAGTTCGATCCGTATCTTAGTGCGCTTGGATTGATGCCTGATATCGCATGGCCCACGACATATCCCAACGCTTCGACTGCAGCCACAACGACCGCGTTTGAGCAAGGCGAGGCGATGAATAACATGGATGCCGTTGGTTCGTCAGGCTTCGGATTTGGAGCGTCTCAGGGAAATTCCAATCCCATGCAGGACTGGTTCTCCGGCTCACGCTACCTCATGAACCTTATGGAGCCAGGCGACGATCTACAAATGCCGGATCTAGACCTTTAACACACGTCATCAGGGAGGAAGACATGGTTTCCGGCGTTTAGAAGACGGTGGACTGCTTCGGCGGCTATTCTGCTTGTCACTGACATATACCCCACTCTTGACACTGCTAGATGTCCATTATTTGCATTCATTCTTGGGGTTCATATTGAACTATTTGGCTAGAGGGTTTCTAATTTGCCTGATTTGTTGGCGTCATTGCATACCATTCTATACTTATAAAAGCTTGTATTGCATAGCATCATGACGTTCAGCCAACTGATCTACGATGACATGAGTGCAAAAGCGACTCGACGTCGCAGGTTCTCTTGCACGCACATACTGATTCGTCCTCATAACCTTGCCCATCCCAGGAAGGACGTCATTGCTGCAGCCACCAACTGGAGCAATTCGACAATGATTCATGTGCCCTATGCCCGAGCAGCTGGAAGAGCAAAGCATGATGCTGCATAATAAAGGTGTGTAGGCGGGGCGAAATACCCGGACTGTGATGCGAAACTGAAACAGCCTGTTTCATATGGGGAAGAGGTGCTTGAGTGAACAACATGCAGCATGCAACAATGGCAACAACGGCGTTCGATCACTCATCATGAGCATTGGATTTGTTACGTGATCGTGCTGCTCCACTCGCTGTAGATGCATTGTCGATGCTATTATTCTATTTACACGCGCCATCTCCAACCGGCAAGAACGCTAAGCCTACACATCAAGGTCCGGCATCGCATTGTCGTTGGCCCAATCCTTGATCTTGTCAAAGTTCCTGCACACATGGTGACTCTCGTAGTCAGGCCAGTATCCCTCCTTACCCTCCTGCGGGTGGAAAGTAAAGACGTTGACGTCAGAAAGACACATGAGGTTCATGCGGAGGATCTCGATGCAGTGATCTAGATGTGCCCTGACCTTTTCAGGCTTGTCGTTGGTGTCGCTCCACCAGAGCTTGGGGTAGTAGTCGGGGTAGGTTGACATGCGGAGGAGGTTGAGGCAGTGCAGTTGGTGGAAGACTTCAAGTCCGACTCGGTAGCCTGTTTCGCCTGTCTTGGGGTCGGTGACTTGCAGGGCGTCGGCGGGCTTTTGTAGCTTGGGGAAGTCTTCCATGGAGACCATTTGGTCGGGCACTGCGCTGTGTTAGTGATGGGCTTTGGGTGGAGAGGGCGTGGGCATGGGAGGGTAGGGTTGATGACTTACGATATGCGACATCCATCCATGCGTTCTCTACATCATCGGTAATACCGACATACTTCGAAGAGTTCAAAGGGTTGGGTAGTTCAAACTTTGTGTGGCTGTATTCGACGACGTGCTTTGCAGGCGCTAGGTCATATCAGCAGGTATTCCTGAGGAGTGCGATGAAGAACTTGGTGCGTACAGAATATGTCGAACTGATCCATTAGCTTAGCCGCTGAGTGACCCGAGTAGTCTTTTTGCGACATGACCGAACATAGTAACGACAGCATTGACACTGTGAAAAGGAACAGGTTGAAGAGTGTAAGATAGATGTAGCTTCTCCGCCGTTGCCTATCATCGCTTTGGTAGGGTGTTGTGATAAAAGCGGTATTTTCGGCATCGCCCTGCGATGAGCTAGAGTCGGTGTATTTTTCCATGATGGTTTTCGAATGCGCGAAGAATACAATGACTGAGATGAAAGCACTACCAAGTGATGTTGAAAGAAGAAAGATTAGTCGACCTGCGATAGAGAATAGAATGCTGCGCTCAACGCTTGAACAAGACGAAGGTGAATGGGGATGGAAGACCAGCGAGCGAGTAAGTGGGAGACGTTGGCGCGAAAGACTATGGTAGACCTGCTAACATCGACCCCCGATACGTTCTCGGTATCGCCATGGGTAGGTCACCGAAACACGGAACATCTCAAAGGGTGCCGCTATGCCGTGCAGGCCGCTTTCTCCAAGGCGTCTTGTTCCATCTGCCCAGGCAACATTAGCCTTGCTCCAAGGCATCAAGCTTTTACCAAGCCTTCTGAGACGCAGAAGGCGGGATCGTCGCCGCTTTTTCGTTGGTTCAACTGTTGCATGGGTTTCGAAGTGGACACTTAGCCAAGACTGGATGTTCATAATTCGGCACCATCGTTTCAGCTTGGCGCGCCAGCCAAAACGAGATTCTTACACTGACATGACACGCACATGGAACAAACGTCCCAACTGCATGATGACAGAACAACGGAAATAACGTCAAAAGTTGCCAGGGCTGGAACAACAGAACCGCGGCTGCGCGCCAATGGTTTCCGACGTTAAACCCTTTCTGGACTAGTCTCGACCAAATGAGTGGTCAGTTCCCGAGGACCAACAGTCTCTATCAAAGCAAGCTCCAGATCGCATTGGCGATGCGCGAAAGGTACCCGGTGGCTGTTGTCGCGGAGCCTGAGGCAGGACCTCGTAGCCTGGCGGCTGGGTTGGACATGACCGTGTTCTCGAGACACCGACAGGCCTTGTCGACGGCTGGCGGTGTCGTTGGTGGAGACGCCAGGCCGTCAAGACTTTCTGTGTTTGGCTTCCCATGCAAACGCCTTCCATCGCCATCGCATCGAAGCGAGCACAGTGGCTTCCTGCAGGCGGCAGGTGGGGTGCCACCTCCGCTTCTGTGCCGTAGGCAATGCAACATGTCTCAGGAGTTGAAGGCGAGAGCGAGCAAGCATGCAACCGCCGTGCCTACCAGGAGTCGAGTTGACTTATAAAGCATCTCGAAGCTCCAGAAGTAAAAGGCATCAACGTTGAACGTGCTCATTCCTTCTCACATCCTGCTCAGTTCTGTTTCATCCATTCTTCTCTGCTGGCAGATCCATTCTTTCAACCGATTCCAGACTCAGTTAAACTTTATTCAACATGAGATTTACCGCACTTACTCTTTTGGCCCTGGGTGCCTCAACCTCTGCCTACGTTGTGCCAAACAACAAGCAAGCCGTTGACAATGCTGTCAAGGCACGCATGCCAGTAAGTTATGCGATGATCCTTGGCATGTCATATACTTACAGTTCTCCAGGGAAGCGGACCTGTCCACACATCCAACCTCGTTGCTGCCCTTGCAGACCGTGGAGTCGAAGCCCGTCACCACAAGGGCAAGGGTGGAAAGGCTGGCGGTGCTGGTGCTGGTGCCGGTGGCGCCGGCGCTGGTGGCTTAGCCAAGCTCTTCGGCCGTGATGCTGAAGAGTTGACCCAAGAAGAGGACGACGCTCACTGGGCCGACCTCCACACTCGCTCCCCTCATCACAAGGGCAAGGGCGGAAAGGCTGGAGGTGCTGGAGCCGGAGCCGGTGGCGCTGGCGGCTTGGCCAAGCTTTTCGGCCGTGATGCTGAAGAGTTGACCCAAGAAGAGGACGACGCTCACTGGGCCGACCTCCACACTCGCTCCCCTCACCACAAGGGCAAGGGCGGAAAAGCTGCTGGAGGTGCAGGTGCCGGTGGCCGAGGCAAGCTCAACAACCGCCAGGCCGAAGAGCTCACCCAGGAGGAGGACGACGCTCACTGGGCCGACCTCCACACTCGCTCTCCCCACCACAAGGGCAAGGGCGGCAAGGCTGCCGGCGGAGCTGGTGGCCGAAAGGTCAACAACCGCGAAGCCGTGCCCGAGCCCCATCACAAGGGTAAGGGAGGCAAGGCTGGAGGTGCTGGCGGAGCCGGTGCTGGTGGTTTGGCCAAGCTCTTCGGACGTGAGCCTGAGCCACACCACAAGGGCAAGGGAGGCAAGGCCGCTGGTGGTGCTGGTGGAAAGGCCAAGCTCAACAACCGCGAGGCTGTCCCCGAACCCCATCACAAGGGCAAGGGAGGTAAGGCTGCTGGTGGCGCTGGTGCTGGTGCTGCTGGTGCTGGCGGTTTGGCCAAGCTCTTCGGACGCGAGCCTGAGCCGCACCACAAGGGCAAGGGAGGCAAGGCCGGAGGTGCTGGCGGCGCTGGCGGCAAGGCCAAGCTCAACAACCGTGAGGCTATGCCTGAGCCTCACCACAAGGGCAAGGGAGGAAAGGCTGGAGGTGCCGGCGGCAAGAACAAGCAGAACAACTAGACGGACATTGCACCTTTGGACTTGCCACGACAGATGTTAGGGGGCAGAAGAGTTGGTGGCGCGAGTAACCTGGATGATTCCTTTAGTATATCTTTTTCCTCATAATGTAGATACGGATGAAAACAATCTGATCAGTGATCAAAGAAAAGCCGGCGTCTAGACGTATACATTGGTCTCTGTGATATGAGCGTGATTGTTCGTGAGCCATCCTGGAGGTATTCGAGCGACTTGAGAAACTTGTTCGTCGTGTAATAGTTGTTTGAATATATCCCCGCTCTTTCTGATGTGGAGTGACCGACAATCCCCGTGCACAGGTTCCCAGTGTCTGCTACTGTCGAGCGAGGTCAGCAGTAGCATCCCAAAGCGTCGAAAGCAAGGCCACGCCAATGACAGCTATTGCATCGGCAAGATGGGAAAATGCCTGTAAAGAGATGTGTTAGTATATGTTTCTCCGAACGAGAATGAAAATATCTACCACACATGTGTATGCTTCGGTGCCTGTAGGACTAGACTTGTTGACGAAGTATAGTCTCAACATGTCCGCAGCATGTCCGTCAATCCCGACTGCCGTTTTGGTGAACATAATTAGACCCCGATGGCCTACAGCTGTTGATGCGCGTTGTTCAGTTGTCGTATGCAACCTGAAGCTGGTGGGCGCTGTGTGGGGAACCGGGCGATGGTAGGACTCGAACTTGCTTGAAGGTCCACAAAGAGGCACCGTCATGGATCTCAGGGCCTCCTACATAGTGGCTATTAGAGGTTGCGCTGTGTATACAAGTTTATGGAGTCGTGGTTGCATAGTGCTGCGCACTCGCCGCCATATGCCAGTGGGCAGAAATGATGGTACTGATAAGGAGCTGCACAGCCCACCGGGATGAAGATGTCGTGGGCAGTGTGTTTGCGAGAAGCAGGTAGATGGAGCAACGCACACCACCCAGAGCTTGCACTGCAACGTGGTCAACCGATCCTGTGAGTGACTTGAAGCGCGCGTCACA